ACTTCCCCGGGCCAATCATCACTGACATCATCGGAGCCCACCAAACTGAGACTCACTCACACGCGCATGCACTTGCACACATAGCGTCCAAAATCAAGTAGGCACGGGGCATACATGCAAGATCGCGTCACAAACATATCCATAGAACACAGCAAACAAAGTCTGATCTGAATCTTTACCAAAAACATCAACGGGACAACGGACTGGATTTTCTCAGAAAAGTCCAGAGTTCTTGCACAGCACAAAACAAAAACAATGCTGCGAAGGTAACGGCTCCCCAAACAAAACATGCAAAGATAAAGAAAAAAGAATGTTCGGTGGTATTCCTTGCTATTTTCTTGCACGCGGGTTTTCGTCTGCTCTCAGGCTCTTCTTTTTCTTATTGTGAAAGAAGCGGCATATGATAGGGCAGTTCCTTATGCTTTTTCTTTCTTTTGTGGTTTTTTCTTTTTCTGTTTTTGCGGGTGAAGCCGCAACAGGTCATCTAGTCTCTATAACTAACTTTGTTCGTGCCTCAGAAGGCAAAGGAACAAAAACTGCATACTTGCTGAAACGATCAACTATACCCATGACTTGGTTCTTGCCATGCGTACTCTTGACCCCAACATCCATAAATCAATGGACATAGACTCTCCAGGACCTGAAGGAATAGGCAAGGGTTTGAAAAGACCCAATGGGGCTCACGTCGTAGTTTTGTTGTGCTGACACACTTTACAACTGCGGTCATACTCTATGCAGTCAGCTTTCATGCCAAACCAAGTCTGCCTACGTGTCAGCTTGGCGACTGTTTTTTGCCAACCGAAGTGTCCTTTTCGTATCGTGACATTCCCTTAGGTTCAGACTTCGGATCTCTTTCACTAGTGGGGATGTACAACCGATCTACGACGTTTGTCGTCTCAAACAGTAACCCGTTTGTGGTGCGATAATCAGGTTCACTTGCTTGATCTTCCCTTACTCTCTTGAGGAGTCCACTATAGATAGGGTCTTGAGCATACACATCTCTAGCTTTTTGTTGTAAGTCAGTCTCTATGTCCAGATAGTCGGCTCTTCTACTCAGGGCATCTGCAACTACGTTGTACTTCCCTTTAACGGGTCTGAGCTCAAAGTCGAACTGGTCTATCTCTGCTGCCCACCTAGTAAGCTTAGGTGTCATCTTGGCCTGTCTCTTCAACCACTTAAGTGTCTCGTGGTTAGAATAGACTTTGAAGTGCCTCCCAAGCAAGTAGTGTCTCCAGTTGTCTAACGCTTGCTTGGGAGCGTAGAGTTCTTTCTCATAAGTCGAAGCTGCTGCCTTCTCGAAAGGCAATCTAGCAGACATGAATTCTATGGGTATATACCCGTTGCCATTATCTTGCTATAAAACAACACCAATCCGGTACCGACTTGCATCAGTAGTAACGACAAAGGGTAGGGATGGATCAACTACCTTGAGGACTGGGTACTCTATCAAAGCCTGATTCAATTTTTTAGGGCAGACGTGCAATCTTGGTCCCACTTCCAGATTGCTTCTTTCTTTATCAGTCTGCAAAGGGGAGCAGTGATAGCGGAGAAGTTTCTAACGAACTTTCTGTAATAGTTGGCCAATCCTATGAACGATCGCAATTTTGTCAGCATACGAGGAGTTGGCGAGTCTCTAATCGTTGCGATCTTGTTGCCCTCAGGTTTTATGCTATCACCATCTAAGACGTGCCCCAAGTACAAGATTTCGGTTTTGGCCCACTCACGCTTCTTCGCGTTGATCTTGAAATTTGCCTAACGCAACTTCTCCAAGATCTGCCTCAGATGAGCTTCATGCTCCTGGAGGGTCTTACTGAAAATCAAAATATCATCTAAATAAACGACTATGAATCTGTCTGTCACGACCTAAACAAAGCGTTCATACAGTGCTGGAACGTGGCTGGTGCGTTGGTTAGTCCGAAGGGCATAACAATGAACTCGTAGTGCCCATATCTAGCTGAACGCTGTCTTGTACATGATCATCCGGATGAACCTCAATCTGGTGGTACCCAGACTTTAAATCTATCTTTGTGAAGTACTTGCAACCCTGCACCCAATCAAGCAGATCATTTATCCGGGGATGTGGTTTTGCATTCTTGATCGTAACTGCGTTCAGACCCCTATAGTCAATACACATTCTCAATTCTCCCTCCTCCTTGGGGGGAAAGAGAATAGGCGCTCCAAATGGAGATGAACTGGGCCTAATCCAACCCTTTGAGGAACTCGTCTAGTTGCTTGCGCAGCTCCTCTTAGGAGACATTCTATGGACTGCTCCCTTGGAAGTTCTACTGCCAGGCTCTATCTCAATGCGATGCTGGATAGGATGCTGAACTACTCCTGAAGGAGGTTCTGGCAAATCTGCGCACTCTTCCAGGAGCTGGGCAATTACAGGGTTGGTAGCTTCCTCTTTTTTAGGCTCAGTGACTGGCCTAACATAGGCTACAAAAACCTGCTCTTTTAACTGCTCCTTGACTAAGAGCGGATAAGCAGGAGCACTGAGACAGCAGTGTGCCAAGGAGTTATCTACTCCAGACACATGGAACAGGCGGGCTTTCTTTACACCAGTGAAGGACTAGGGAGCCTACACTCGTGCTCTCGCTATGCAATGTGGCCCCTGCTGCCTCTCCCCTTGTTCATACACACACACACTCACTCTAGGATCACCCTGGATGTCCCCCCCGCCCCCCCCACACACACCATACACATACACACTCCCTATGACTATCCTACAGGCAGCTATGGCTGCCGTCTTCCTCTCTCCGACTAACTAGCAGCTATAGCTGCGTCTTCCTCCTCTTAGCCCTCTTCCTCTTCGGGCACCTGCAGACCTTCGTACACAACACACTCAGACAGCACTTCCGGACAGCTCACGGGCAGAATGAATGAATGGCTTGACGCTGCCTCTTTATTTATACTTCGGATCGTCGTTGGTCTGCCCTTGGACCCTAGGCCCGGGGTATGCACAGTCCCGCGTGGTACTTGCTGACTTGACAAAGTGCGACCTGGGACTGGATACCGCTGACTACGGCAGGTAGGACTGGGACTGCTCCTTGCTGACTGTAGTAGGACTGCCCCTCGTTGACTCAGCCGCTGACTGACCCCTAGGACTCACGAAAGGCTACCTCCGGAACTTCCAGAAGGCCTTGGACTTGGCCTTTCGGAGCTACAACTACTATGACCTATGCTGACCCTATGACAGCTAAAACAAGGACCTATGGTTCAAGACCTGACGACCGCACTATATGCTACAGCTGAATGTACGACTTTCAGAACACAGGTCACGGGTTCAAACACACACGGGTCAAAGGGTACTGTACATGGGTAAGGAGGAGATCTAGGGATCGAGCCCTGGGTACTGCATCTGCTACCGAATAGGTGAAAACCGTTTCACTTTTTTTGGTATTGTGTTGCCTGCACCTGAGAAGCTGCACGCACTCTTTGGTTTGTCTTAGGCACACACAAAACTGCCCCAGCAGCAGCTTATTTCGTGATAGGCAAAGGAGGAAGCAAGTTCTCATGTTTTTCTATTGTGACAAGCATCCCTTTTGCCTTTCACCATGGAAGAATACCAAACATCCAGTTTTCCTCCTCCGTCAACTTCGAGTCGGAGCGTAGGTCCAGCTCTCTTTGAACACTGTTTGCTGTGCTCAATGTCAATGTGTTAATATTTTGTGGTCTTCGTTTATTCGACTTTATTGTCTTTAAAATTGAGCTGCATAAACCAGAAACCCTCGGAGTCTCCCTTTTGTTCTTGGGTATTTGTGCATGCCTTCTGGCATAACCAACTATTGATAATCACAAGCTCCCCTTGCAAGACTGTGCATGATCAACTGAGCCCTGCCTGGTTTGATTTAAGCAAATGGGATGTCAAATCTCCGACCTCTCTTTCTGTTAAGGCTGAAATGTCTGGCCAGTTTTCCGCTCGCCTGAGGAAAGGGTCTTGGCCACCCCTTTGTCGTTGGATTGGAGCTCGATACCAAGGGAAAAAAAAGAACGAATGTACAGCAAAATGCAGAGGAGGTGAACTGGTTAGGTTGGCGGTTTGATGACCGGAGCCAAACCTCTACCTGCTCATCACCTGTACCCCACTGATAACACTACCCTGATCAGACTACCCACCCAGACCCGTATTCACCTGTAAAAGTTGGATATGGCAGGTATGGCCACAGCCACCCATCTGTGGCCACCCATCAGGAACCTCTTTAAAATGGGGGGCGCAAGGGGGTCCTAGTGTGCATCGCTCATGGAAGGGCAAATGGAGATTGCTGTGGCCCTTGCAAGTGTGAAAGGGAAGAGGTAGAGATAGTGTCAAGTGCTGTACGCAGTGGTATGGAGAAAAAGTGAGTGAAGGGGCTTGGGAGGGCGCTGCAGAGATTCACTTGTCGTACACGTGTTTATAAAATATTTGGAAGTGTTAAAATAATCAATAAAAACTTATTAAGAAGACAGCTGATGTCATTGCAGGTAGGCAAATTAGGTTTTGCCTAGTATATATTGTCAAACAGATGTATAATCATATGGGTAGAACCATAGTCATGCAAAAAAAAAAAAGGGAAACAAAAATTAAAGGTTAGAACTGTAGTATAATAAGTATATATATTTATAGAGGTAGAACCATAGTCTCATGAAATAGCTGGCAGCAATAGTTTCTTGTAGCTTTTCCCTCACTTCATGGACCATCTTGTCCTTTTTTCTCCCTGCTGCAGGAGGTCGAGTAGTGCAGGGTCTGTGGAAAAGGGAAGTAGAGCAGTCAATGCGGAGGTCCAGGTGTCCTTCACAAGCTGTCATCTTCTTCCCAGGCTCTTACGAATCACGTCTTTATGTTGAGTTTTGCTGGGGTGTCTGCATGAACTAGGAAACCTGCGACTGAAAGCACTCTCCAAAGAATTCTCGGACAGAGGATGGAAGGTCTTTTTGGCAGGATTTGGCAGTGTTAAGTCATGGGGAGAGGCTGGAATTTGGCCTCTATTAATTGGACATGAAATGTGTTGTCTTGTCACTAGGTATAAAGCTGCACAAGTGAAACTGGTTGAGATAATGCATGAGAAGGGTGCAGGGCCTGGAAATCCCATTTTGCGTCCAGCTCTGAGGGAGGAAGCTCGAAGGCATATTGGTGACACAGGCGAGTTATTTTCATCGAAGCCCTTGAGGTCCTCATAAAACCATTCTCGTTCTGTTTGTACCTTGAAATCTTACCCTTGGAAACTTTACACTACACAGACTGACACATGCTCATTAAGAGCTGTGCTTAAACTACGTGCATGACACAGCATGTGGTTTCTCAAGTGCTGTGTACTTGGGCGATCTCCGCTCTGTTAGCGCTCAAGTGCTGTGTACTTGGGCGATCTCCGCTCTGTTAGCTCTCAAGTGCTGTGTACTTCTGCAAACTCCGCTTTGTTAGCTGTCGAGTGTGCTTAAGCCACCAGTTCACCCAAGCCTAACTTGTCGAAGCTACTTCCAAGGTTGGCGAGCCTGCAACTGTGCCTTTCCAACGTGGCCTGCCGCTTTGGCTACAGGCCCAGGCCTGAATTGAAATGCTCTTACCGTGTATACCAGCAAGAGACCACTACTTAGCTTTGTGTGAACAGGTAGGCTGTGTCTGTTCTGTAAATATGTTAACAGTTAGAATCACTATGATTTGGGGCTATGTGGGACTGGGCTCTAGAAACAGACTGAACTATTCCTGCTGACAAGTGCACGTCATGCAGTGCAGCTGGGCTGGTGGTTGCTTGTCGATGAAATCTTTGTGATGGCTTTTGTTTAGTCACTGTCATATGATTGATTCCTACATTGCCTTGTGTCCAACAGGCCTGCTGGACCATTTGCTGAAGCACATGACGGATACAGTTGTGGGCAATGGAAAGGAGCGCTTTAGACGCAGGCACAACTCAGAAGGAGCTATGGAGTACTGGCTGGAAGACGCACAGCTTCAGGACCTTCGTCGCTCTGCAGGCATGGACTTGACACATCCAGCATATCCGCTCCCAGGCGGCGGAGTGTGGGGCATTGGAGGGGGTGTTGTGGGAGGTGTTTCAAAAGGAATGTCGGAGGACGAGACACGGGAGTTCACATGGCTTAAGGAGAATATGAAAGCCTTGCAGAGGTTGCTGAACTTCTTTTCCTTTTGACCACTCATACTCACTTCCCTCTTACTTGTTCATTGCACGTGCTGCTCCAATCTAGCTTGTGTTTGTTTGGCCTTAGCATAACTGATGATACTGCGTGACCTTTGGATACAAATGACAATTTTGTCCGCATTGCATGTGAATGATGCCCATTTGTTTTGTCCACATTGCATGTGAATGATGCCCATTTGTTGGTGTTAAAGGAAGGATTCATGTTGTTGAAGGTGTTGTTGGACGACTTCCAGTGGCAGCATGCATTGTTTCATTAAACCACAAGTACATGGCCCCAGTCTTGCAGTCCGAAACTTGTCGCCACAAGAAAACGAGGCCGAAACGTCAAACGCTGGGCCCGCCATTTTAAATTCGATCGGCGGTGGCGTATTCATTTCGCACCTCCAGAATTTGAGGTGTCAGGCCTGCGACCCAGGTGCCCATGTACTGGTGCTTTAAAGGCGTTGTTGGGTGCCCACCCTTGGAGTGCCTCTAAAAAATATTAAAACTGGAAAAATGCTAAGAACAGGGAATGGCATGTGGATAGGACCAAGGGGTCAAAAGTGCACTCTCTACAAAACCTTTCATGCAATGTGATTGTTTCACAAGACGTTTCACAACATTCCCGTTTTCCTGTAGGACTACGAGTGTCTTTATGGTTGCTGTTGTAATTCAGGCAACCCGCCCAGGCGGCTGCGCCTTTGAAAAGGCCTCCCACATTTGAGTGTCAATACCAAGGGTGAGGAAGGTTAGCATGATGAAGGTGAGTACTTCTTGTGGGGGGGAGGTGCTTTTGCAAGTGAGCACCAATCAATGGGATCCGGGAAGAGGGGGGTGGAGGGGGAGCTGTAATAGTTTGCACAAGGATTGCGAATATGTTTCGGAAGGTTCAGGGGCGGGCTACATCTGAAGAAAAGAACAGGGGTGAGGGGGGGGGGCGCGAAAAACAGTGTGTGTTTCGTGTCCAGACTCATCTGGACCATTCAAACCAGAACCAACCTATGAGAAAAACTGCCATTAGACTCTGTCTGGTCCAGTCCAGTATTCCAGACGTCCCGATGTCCAGACGCTTTTCGCCCATGCATCTGGGCAAATGTCCAAATTGCCCAGCTTTCCGTGCACCAGCACAACTGGTGCGGCTGGCACAGCTACGGAGGCCCCACCTACAGGAAAGTATTGAGAATGTACTATGTGAAAACGAGGGAACTCTACTCCTTTAACTGCTGAGAGAGAGAGAGAGAGCTTGTGGGATGGGTCTGGTCCAGTCCAGTATTCCAGACGTCCCGATGTCCAGACGCTTTTCGCCCATGCATCTGGGTAAATGTCCAAATTGCCCAGCTTTCTGTGCACCAGCACAACTGGTGCGGCTGGCACAGCTACTGAGGCGCCACCTACAGGAAAGTATTGAGAACGTACTATGTGAAAACGAGGGAACTCTACTCCTTTAACTGCTGAGAGAGAGAGAGAGAGCTTGTGGGATGGGTATGGCCTGTCTGATCGCTTGTGGATGCCGCGACCACCCAGCAAGGGTATTGTTAGAAATGGTGATGGTGGGCTGAGCTTGCTGGGGGCAGAGGACCCTCGACGCGGGAGGTGTCACACTGTCATTCGAAGTTCAAGCACCCTTTGGCAGAGGGCTAGCATGGTGTTGCGGTTCTTCCTCTTGAGTCTCATGACTCTGCAGAAGGCCAGCAGTGCGAGTGTTTGGCTTGTTTGGATGCTCATAGCAGTCCCTGGAAACTTGGGGACATTCCAGTCCCTGGCTGATGGGTGTGAGTGGCCCTGAAAATAGCCTCCGACAGCTGCATAAATAACAAGCTGCTTTCAATTGAGATTGGACTATGTTGTGGCTGTCTCCATGCTTTGTTAGCCACAGTATCAAAATCTGACCTCTATCAGCCGTATTCAGATGACTAGACGTGGGACTCTGTGGATGCTTGTCCCCCTCTTGACTGTTTCATTTCGCTGCTGCCTGTCTGTTTGACTTGGCCCCCCTCTGTGCGGAGGTTGAACATCTAAAATGGAAAGGTCCATTTGTAGATGCTTGTCTGTTGAAAAAGCATTCGCGTGTGGCTCGCCAGAGTTGGAAAATTTAGGCTTCGGGGGCCCTCTGCTTGATTTCCATCAGAGAGGGGTGTACTGTCATGGACTTGTCTGTGAGCAGCATTATGCCCGGGCGCGTGATTTGAAAGGATCTCTGAGCGAAAGAAAAAAAAAGAAAAAAGAAAAAAAGAGAAGCAGGGAAGATGCTGCATATTTGGATGAAGATTGATGATACATGAAAAAATGATGAAATACAATAAATTGTAGTAAAAAGTGTTTGAAACAAGGTACCAGCTATAGCTGTTTGATCAGCCCTGGGTTCCAGGTTTTGTTCTCATTTATAGGCAATGATCCAGATCCGGATGCTCCACAGAATTTATAAATTACCTTGAAGGGCTTAGTTAACCCTGCCATATTTTTTAACTGAAAATCCGAAGGCCCAGTTAAGAGTGAGCTCCATACTATACTTTTTCACTCTTTTTGTGGAATGGCCTGCGCTGAAGCTGGTCTCCTGATCTGGTTAAGTGCGATCTTCAAGGTCGCTCGGCGCTCACATATCGAGAATGCCTTATGTAAGAGTGCTGTGTAAGCATCATCTATATTATCCATACCGTGATCGATGGGCTCGACAAAGGTAAAACAAAATTAATGGGCTGGACAAAGGTCACAAAAGATGCGTGCCGGTCCTTGCTGAAGTAACAAAGGAGTGGTTGATGGAGTAGCAATTTCAAAGCTCTTTTTATGTTGAACAATGAGCGTACTTTCTTTTGTTGATTTTTTCACGGAAAGCCCTATGAAAAACTTTACATGAGAATTGATGACTCATGAAAATGACCTTTTTCTCTTTGTCAAACAGTGTGTGCTTTGCTGTAGCTGCTCTCCTGGTCTAGTCAGTTGAAACCTAATTGTTGCTGACGTGTTGAAAATGCCCTATAAAGTATACACGTGCTCTGTAATTGCCCGCGTCATCCACACCTGCTCTAGACGTTGATGGGCCCATTCAGCCAACCGTGAATGCAATGTTCCACCATTTCCGGACACATACGTTGGATGATTCCTGGTCAACCAACCACAGAGGTATTGTGTCGATTCACTGGCGAACATTGCAAGTCAATGTGTAAGGTGTTACGGACTCGCCCTGTAGTTGTTTTCTTCTCATCTTTCTTTGGTTTCATTCTTGCTACCTGTGATCTTGATGTATGTTTCGCAAACTTTGTCAGGAAATCTTCTGCTGTGAATTCCCATTGTGGCAGGCGAAACACCATGGCAGCAGTGTTTCCGTTGTGGCCTGCAGGAGCAGATAGATTTCTCAAGGAGTCTTTGCCAGTGCTCTTTCCGTTGTGGCCTGCAGGAGCAGATAGATTTCTCAAGGAGTGTTTGCCAGTGCTCGTTTGTGTTTTCAGGCTATGGTGTAGATTTCTCAAGGAGTGTTTGCCAGTGCTCGTTTGTGTTTTCAGTCTATGGTGTGATTAAGAATAATAGCTGTGTTTGAGTGTTCGGAGGACTCGAAAGCTCAGAATATAAAACACAGGTTGCTGGTGGGTTATGTAGCTTTGGATGACTAGCTTTCCTAAACAGACCATTGTGGCTCAGTGAAAAGCCCAATATGTGGTTGAAACCGACCCCCCACGTGGCTGAATGGTACACCCATGAACTGTTGATAAAAGCAATCTGAGTTTAAAATTTCAGTCCTGTTTTAATCAACTGAGTAATAAAATAATAATAAAGAGAGAAAGGAAAAGGAAAAGGCCAACTTGTGGTTGAAATCAGGCCTAACCGGTGGAGTGCTTTGCTTGTCACCAGAGATTTTGAGAGGTTGACCAATCGCCTTGAGAGGCCTCAAGCGTCAGAGATGAGGAACCAGCAACAGTTTTTGAAGGAACATTTTTATCTGCTGAAGAATGAGGTCTATACCAAAGTGGAGGTGAAATTTTCATTCTTCTCTCTTGACTAGTGCTTTCTTTGCAGTTTGTCGACATCCTATTCTGCTGCAAATCATCGTGATTCCGAGAGTTCATGCCAGTGAACCATCGGGGATGCATGTGAGGAAGTTTGTGTCATCGTTTTTCTTCCTTGCTGGCATCAGCCAGCAGTCATTTTTGGCAGCAACTTCGGTCAAATGCCCACCTATACAATTCTTCCATAAGCGAAGAAATCAAGCATGTAGGGAGGGACACTTTTTTTTGGGTGGAAAGACCGAGTTGTGCCAATCAAAGAGACTTTGACCTAGTTTCCGTGACAGCGATTTACCTGCTCTTCTTGGTGCAAGTAGTGAATGAGGATCCAATCTGCACCAGGAATCTCCCCTACTAGAGTGAAAAGGTCTTCTATCGACAGTCGACTCTGTAGAATTTCTGTACTTTGGATGACTCCTCTGAAGTATTGTAGAATTTGTAGTCATAAAGGAAAATATCGTATAAATCTTTTTTTCTATTAAATGGCAAAATGTCAGCAATGGCCTTCTCAAGTGTATAGAATGTGTGGAGCTCTGAGGACTCTCCTGAAATATTATTCTGTTAGTGAGGATAGTATCGGTTAAACAATGTAAAGGTCTGTTTGAGACTGAAAGGTCTTCTTGAGTCTGTAGAATGTGTGGGGACACGTGATAACCAATGAAGTTAAATAGGCCGCCGCTTCCCGCTTCCTATGACTCCCTTGCATGATTGCACACTGCGCTAGTCCAGAAAACTGTGATCTTTCGAAACAAATCTTGGCCAACCCCTTGGCTCTGACTTTACTGAATGTTTTCCCTATTGGTAGAAGCTCTGTAGAATGCCAAAGGTGCTTCCTGCATACGCAGAGGTTCCGGAGCCTCTTGGCAGAGCCTCAGCTACCATCCCTCAGACGCCTTCCGCCGCATCTACCCTTTCCAAGCTCTAGACTTTAGTCACAATTTTTGTACCCTGTTCAAGTGATGCGTTGTTTTCTTGCGGAGCTAGTCAGGCTGAGTGGTACCACGTTGTAAGTGATGAGATTGCTGCTGCATCTACCCTTTCCAAGTTCTGGAGTTTAGTCACATTCTTTGTACCATGTTCAAGTGATGCGGCCTTTCTTGTGGGAGTTGGCCAGGTTGAGTGCTTCCACGTTGTACATGACGAGAGTACCTTGTACATGATGTAGAACGCATTCCGAGTGCCAGTTATGGCCAGGGGCTCACATGTGACTTTCTATTTGCTAATCTATTGCTGACTTTGTTGCCCGATGACGGCGAGTCTCTGCTGCCTGTCTTCCGAGTTCCTCATTGTATCGAATTGTGTCGTTTACGTCTTAAGCTCCATTTTAGTCATACTCTAGACCACAAGGTCGCAATTATGCCATGGAAGACCCATGAAAAATGGGCATCAATGATGTAGAAATTTAGAAAACCAATAATTTGTCAATTAGTGCCATAGACATGCAAGAATAGACAACAAGTAATGAACTCTTTTGCAGTAATATCTCGCTTCTCCGACATGTCTCCATGATTACGCGAAAATTGATGTCCTGATTGCACTTTTGTCGCAACCAGATGCGGGTACTGTGCTGCAAGGTGAGGGTGAAATCCTGTTAAGCAGCTTTTTTCTTGGTTGAAGTTTCTCATTTCTGTGTACTGTGAACAGGCATTCTCGAAGGAGCTGGATTTGATCAAGGGAAAGATGGAAGCTATCCAGCAGGACCTGGCAACGGTCATGAGAGAGGTGAGGGCACCATCATCTGTACAGTACTTTGTTTCTCCCCAGCCTTATAGTTAGCTCTTGTGGAGATTAGCTTTGTACCCTGCTAGATGAATGAAAGAGTGCATATCAAGAGCTGTTGATTAGTTGGTCTGGAGCTGAACTACCGTGTGATTACACAACATCAGGGGCTAACCCCTTAAATGGGAAAAAAGGATGTTTATTTTTCTTTCCAAGCCTGAGTCCAAATCGCTCAGTTGAGAACTCGGACCTCCTGCAGAAGACTCGGAACACTCTGCAACCAATAGGTAAAGTGAGCTGGGATGAAAATGAAGCCTACTGATGCTTGGCCTCCCCCACGTGCATATACTGTGTGGCCCCCTTGATGTTCGGGCAAGTGAAGCCTATTGTCGGGCGAGCTTAAGATCTTAAGATCGTGCATTAATCCAGGCCGTTGGCCCGGTACCTTGGGCCTGACGGCCATTCTAACTAACTACGTGCTTCCCCCCCTCTAATCCATGATCAAGTGTAGTATCCGCTCCGATCAGTTTCATATCTGATCCGTGGTTCACCAAGACCTTTAAAAAACAAGCATGTACACTTGCACGCACGTGTGTGTGTGTGTGTGTGTGTGTGTGTGTGAGAGAGAGAGAGAGAGAGAGAGAGAGAGAGAGAGAGAGAGAGAGACCCCAATCTAACTATGCAGCCTGCCCCCTCCCCCCCCCCACACAATCACAGAATTGCATATCTCCGACATCTGAGAAAGAATATTTGTGATGAGCGGGAGACAGATATGCAAAGTGTGACACACACACAGCAGGTGAGTTCAAATCCGAACAACCACCAACCCAGCAAACTGCAACTGAAAGGAATGCAAACTGTGATCAGGTCTCTGACATGACAAAACAGAAATATATATCTGGTGTGGGTGAGTGATAGTCTACTTTGATTTTGGTTAAGGTAGATTATCATTTACAGTGTAATCAGTGAGGGGATTCTGCAGACTGTTGAGGGTTAAGCCTCCTGATGAGTCGGTGAAACTCCGACGAAACAGTTTGTCACAGCCCCTCGTTTGTTGTCCTCTTCTCTCTCTCTGCCTACGGTTTACCGGGCAGTTCTATTTGTGACGATATATAGTTAAACAGAGCTGCCCGGTAAACCGTAGGCAGAGAGGGAGAAGAGGACAACAAACGAGGGGCTGTGGCGGCTTACAAAGCAGCAGCAGCATTCCATCGGCAGTGTCAACAACGGTGCACAGGTGAGCCTAAAAACCACCCCAACCCCACCCAAACCCACACCCCAACCAACAAACCCCCACCCACCATCATTTGCACCCTTTTCCCTTCATTTTTTTGCGGGCGAAGCCGCAACAGGTAAGTTTGTAAAACACTGTGTGACACCACTGAACACTTGCTCTCCTTCTGTGTGCATATGAAGAACATGATGAATCAGGTGAGCACTAAAGAAAAAGTGTGCATAAGCTTGATAAAACAGGGTTCCCTTTCCTTGCATGCTTAGATCACATCAATAAGAACGTGACTACATCTCTCGTCTATGGGCCATCGCAGTTTACAACACCCTTGAGAAGCGTCGAGACCTTTCCCTGTTTCCTGCTGCTGCATACCATTGTCTCTCATTTCACTCTGAGATGGATGTGCTTGTGACGCGAGAGAGGTTATTGAGGTAGGACCTCATGGTGGTTGACTGTCATGCTATGGTCTTAGCTCATTTCATGATGCAAAACTCGAACGTGAATCAAAGACATGAAGCGCATCGCAGTGACTGTCATGCTATGATCTTAGCTCATTTCATGATGCAAACCTCAAACTCGAATCACAGACATGAAGCGCATCGTAATGCGCATGAGCAAGATGACACAAGAAAGAAAAAGAAGAAATGAACAATAGGAAAGAATTGAGGCAATATACACCCTATGACAGCTCTCTCATCATTCACTCTCATGCCCATGGTGGTATCGAATTTGTCCAAGACTCCAAGAGTGAATAAAGAATCAATGTCCAGTAGATCCACCTAGCAGCCGCAATTGAAACGCACTCTACTAGCATCCTTCTCTCTTTCCTCTTGCGGCCTTCACTCTCCCATGACTTTCGTCAAAGGAGTGGTCTACAGACATCGACACAAGAGGTAACGACTCCCCGCACTCCTGAAGGCAGCACAAACTCGGATGAGAGCCTCTATCCTCCAAGGGCCTGTGCGACCTCACGTGCTGATGCACCATCTAAGCATGATGATTGGTGAAGTCTGCCGCCACGATAATAGCATCCTTTGATCTTTCCTCTTGCCGCCCTCACTCCCCAATGACTTTCGTCAAAGGAGCGGTCTATAGACATCAACACGAGGTAACGACTCCCCCCACTCCTGTGCAACGACTTGCTGGTCTATAGACATCAACACGAGGTAACGACTCCCCCCACTCCTGTGCAACGACTTGCTGTTTCTGGTCGCCTGTAGCCTCTCTCTGTCAAGGCTATACCATAAATAGGACAGATTCGTAAATTTGTTTGGCTGAGGGCTAACCGAGTGACCTGCCTGTAAGGAAAATCCGTGAGGGACATATCTGTAAATTTGGGTAATGGCCCACTACTAACTGAATTTCCTACAGCTACCCTAACTCTGAATCGCAGGCCCGGGCTACCTATAGAATAGACAGGCCCTAAGGGCCTATGCTAATATACGGTCCTATAGCCTATAGCCGGGTTGGGAGAGGCCCTAGAGGCCGAAACAGAATCGCTACCAGTCGGTCCGTCAGTCCGGTCTAGGTCGAGTCTAGGCTAGAGTAGTTATAGATAGGTTAGGCACATCGGTTCGGGGCTTTTGGCAGTTGGTACCGTGTACATCGCTGCTGCGCTACGCGTGAACCGGAAGTGGTGACGGCTCAGCGTTGTGGGAGACAGACATAGCCAGACCATCGGAGCGCCGGCCATAGCTGGGACCTGCGCTGTACTCTGTCAGCACGTGGGGCTGGACAGAGGTCTGGGCTATTGAGGTCTGCTGGAGGCAAGAGAAGTTGGTGCCCTGCTGGACCCTCCTCCGGAGTGGGGTCACAGGGTTGTGGCGCTGCAGCCATAGCTGCAGCTTCTTCCTCAGAGGTCATCTTGCCAGGCTTTCGTGGCGCTGCTGCAGACTTCCATCCGGGAAGTCTTTCGACACTTCGTCATCATCAGATACTGTGGCGCTGGTCTTCTTCTTCACCCTCTGAGTGGCGCTTGGCCTCAAAGGCCTGTTTCAGAGTGGCGCTTCCCTTTGGAGGCTGTATCTGGGTGGCGCTTGACGTTTCACGGGCTCAGGGGTGTCACGAGTGGTTGCTCAGGGTTGGGGAGTGAAGCGCTGCTCATCTCTGAGCAGCACACTGTAGTTCTGGAGTTATTCTGGCAATTCGAGACTCTGAGTTTAATAAACAGTGTGATACTGGGTTTTGAACTATCATCGTTTCATTGTTTCCTGGATGTGATCTACTCAGCTTTTCTTTATGACTGGTTGTGAGGATTGAGGGGAGTGAATTGCACTTTCAGTGTACCCTGTCATATCGCATGGTTAAGTCTTTCGCTGTGTTTATCTCTCCTTGTGCAGTATAATACTCCATCCTCTCCCCTTCCTTCTGTGTATGTATGGGCATATCTGGAAGTCTATGTGAGTGAGTGTTGGTCTTCAGACAACGGACAGCCAGAATCATAACACCTGAAGGCAGCACAAAATGGGATGAGGGCCTCTATCCTCCAAGGGCCTGTGCAACCTCCCATGCTGATGCGCCATCTAATCATGATGATTGGTGAACTCTGCCATAACTGCCAGTTAACCCTTGGAATCTCCACTTTGCCCTGCCACTCTCACAGAACTACAATCTTGGCCGGATTCAATCCTCTCTTCCACAACTACAAGAAGAGTCATAACTGGCATACTCTTCTCCAAGCTAGGGCCTCTCACAGAACTACAATCTTGGCCAGATTCAATACTCTCTTCCACAACTAAGAAGACCCATAACTGGCATACTCTTCTCCAAGCTAGGGCCTGCTCTGAGACCATGGAGCTACCTTCCTCCCTAGCTGCCGCTCCAGAGCCTTGCTCTCCTTCTTCACCTTCAAGCTAAGGGCTCCTCCATAGCCATGGAACTCCTCCTCCTGCATGTGTCAATCTGTCAGGTAAGGCTGTGAAGCGGCCTTCCTCATGTTCAATCTGTCAGGCAAGGCTCTGAAGCGACCTTCCTCATGTTCAACCTGTCAGACAAGGTTGTGAAAGCGCGTGTTGTGATGAATGTAGGTTTGGTATTTTTGTGTGTTCACTATCACTGTTCATTTTCCTCGGTCCAGTTTGGCACCGGCGCTGAGATCACAGTTTGTCTTCCCCATGAAGCACAGGTTTGGGTTTGACACTGATGATCAACTGCAAGACATGTCTGGGATCTATGTTGCAGGGGGTTGGGTGAAGTATTTTTCAAATGGTAGATTTCCGTGGACAGGTTTTGGATTGGTGGTAGGGGCTGAGTGCAGGACAGGTTTTGGTTTCGTGTGAAGCCTCGGTGCGGAACAGTTTTAGGTGTGCTGCCGAGGATTCGTTGCACAATTGGCACGACTTGATTCATTTTTAGGAGTGGGTCGGTGTGTGGGGAAAGTTGGGATTGGCACGAGGAGTTGGTTGTTACATTCTCTGACAGTTTTAGATTATAATAACATGAGTCTTATTTGAGTTTCCTGTGTGCGCTTGGCAACTACACCTCTGGATTGTTTGTGTGGTGCCTACCGTCTTCCCCCGAATAGAACGTCTGTATTTGGCCCAACTGTCAGTCCCGATGCAGTGAAAATGACAGTACATTTTTAGGAGTGGGTCGGTGTGTGGGGAAAGTTTGGGATTGGCACGAGGAGTTGGTTGTTACATTCTCTGACAGTTTTAGATTATAATAACAGGAGTCTTATTTGAGCTTCCTGTGTGCGCTCGGCAACTACACCTCTGGATTGTTTGTGTGGTGCCTACCGTCTTCCCCCGAATAGAACGTCTGTATTTGGCCC